CGTCTTTAAGGAAACTAGTATCATTTTGGAAAGAGCTACATTTGCACTAACTAAACTTGAGGCCTTCTTGAGAAGCCTGCGATCACCCATCTGCTCAAGAATTTTGTAACATTTTATGGAACCAGAAGGTCCATTGCCATGCTCACAAGAGCCCTACATTGGCCCGTATCCTGAGCCAGATGAATCCGTTTCATAGCACCACATTCTATCTCTCTTAAGATCCGTTCTAATATTAGCCTTCCACCTGAGTCTAGATTTTCTTATTGGTCTATTTTCCTTCTGGCTTCCCCACCAGAACCCTCTCTATGCATTCCGCTTTACCCCATATGTGCTACATATCCTGCTCATCTTATCCTCCCTACTCAAAATAATAAGTAAAGTAAAGCTATCCCTGTAACAGACCGTGAAAGTACGTAGGGTTGTGAGACGTCGAGGGTCCCACATTATCTAGACAATCGGCTCACAGATGTGATGTGATGAGATTGTCATCCTTATGCGCTGGCCGCCCTTTACCCCCAAGAATATTCCTGGTACTTATTTCTGTTAGAGGCAGAGTCGACCCCAGGGCCATAGTGTGACTGGAAGGATTAGGTCAATTGAAAATATCCACCTCATCGGTGTTCGATCCCGCGACTTTCTGACTTGTAGCATGGTGCCTTAACCAACTACGCTACCACGTGCCCCCACGCAAAATAATACAGGGAATTATATTTTAAAATTTATTCTCAAGTCTTGAATACTCGTAGTCGATCAAGTAGGAATAGTCTTAAAGGGCCTAAACGCGCGTTTGTAAATGATTGTTCTGGTCCCTCCGCCTGGGTGTAATGGTGCCGATAAACTGGCGTGAAGCAGTAAACTGTGTTACACTCACTGGCTGTGTCTCGCATCAAGTTGGGAAGGCGTGGGCTAAATTTAGTCGCTCTGTCTGTCAGTTCCAACACCAGGCTTTAGCCGGCGTCAGTATGCACCCTAAAGGAACGTCATCCGGTACCATGAGTGGTATCCTGCAACGTCTGTGTGGATAGCATCAGGACCTCGAACAGGCGTGTGGTGTAGATTGTGCCGCGTTTCAAGCGGGGGCCTTCATTCCGCCAATTGAAGCCTCTCCGCTTCTGTTTACATATCTCTGTGTGCTAAGGTCTGCATTTGTGGTCTGGCCAGTCCGTATTTAGGTCACGTGTGACTACGTGGGGTGCTTAATTTCGTTATAAAAGGAGCACAGTTTTTTTTAATTGTGTGAACTTCCGGTCTGTAAATTTACTTACAGATATACGAAGGTATCTTTTTCGGATGTAGGATAGCCGAGCGGTACTGCCGTTTGCGGCGGGCGGTCATTTCGTTTCGTAATTACCGTAGATTCTATCAGTATTTATCTGTTTTTTTACTTTTGTCAGTAGCTCGCAGTATACAGCGTCGAATGTTAGGATGATCAATTAATATTAACTGGGAAATGGTATCAGAATAAACTCGAAGGATAACGTGAGGCAGTGTGACGTCATCTGGCGTGTGGGGATTAGGAAGGCACTGAAGACCTCAGGATAACGATATTCGGGCCGATATTTAGATCCAGGATTTTTTAATACGCCCCATATATCTCGTTAGAAACACTTTCCTGCTTTTATTTTGTTTTTAATAATATCATCCAAATGAATGTCTTCTGTTATGACAGCGAAACTTGCAAGTTGATTTTGTCAGTTTATGGTGCATGTACGTTACGATGGATATATACAGGATGTCTAAGGTGGAAATGTCAATATTCTGAGAGCTTATAATATCGGTCATTCTAAGGAAAGAAATGTATATGTACATGTGTCTTATTCCGAACGGTTTCCGAGATAGAGCTATTTCACTGTGCAGTACACTGTACACTGTACAGACGAGCAACACGCCATGTTCTCACACGAGTTGCACCGAGATAGAGCTATTTCACTGTACAGACGAGCAACACGTCATGTCCTCACACGAGTTTCACCGAGATAGAGCTGTTTTACTGTACAGTACACTGTACACTGTACAGACGCGCAGCACTCCATGCCCTCACACGAGTTGCACCGAGATAGAGCTATTTCACTGTACAGACGAGCAACACGTCATGTCCTCACACGAGTTTCACCGAGATAGAGCTGTTTTACTGTACAGTACACTGTACACTGTACAGACGAGCAGCACGCCATGCCCTCACACCAGTTGCACCGAGATAGAGCTATTTCACTGCACAGTACACTGTACACTGTACAGACGAGCAGCACGCCATGTCCTCACACGAGTTGCACCGAGATAGAGCTATTTCACTGTACAGTACACTGTACACTGTACAGACGAGCAACACGCCATGTCCTCACACGAGTTGCACCGAGATAGAGCTATTTCACTGTACAGTACACTGTACACTGTACAGACGAGCAACACGCCATGTCCTCACACGAGTTGCACCGAGATAGAGCTATTTCACTGTACAGACGAGCAACACGTCATGTCCTCACACGAGTTTCACCGAGATAGAGCTGTTTTACTGTACAGTACACTGTACACTGTACAGACGAGCAGCACGCCATGCCCTCACACCAGTTGCACCGAGATAGAGCTATTTCACTGCACAGTACACTGTACACTGTACAGACGAGCAGCACGCCATGTCCTCACACGAGTTGCACCGAGATAGAGCTATTTCACTGTACACTGTACAGACGAGCAACACGCCATGTCCTCACACGAGTTGCCGAGTGCATTGATGTTGAGGGTGGAATTTTCGAAAATGTATTACACTAGGTAAACTGTACCAACTTTGTCACTGAACAGTAAATACCGGTATTAGAAACAGTACGTAATATCTCTTTCTTATCAACAGTTTTGGAACTGTAGAGTGAAACAGCTGTATCTCGGGAACCGTTCGGAATAGGACGAGTGCAGATATACACTTTTTTGCTTAGGATGACCGATACTGTGACCTCCCGGAAAATTTACCTTCCCTCCTGGGACATTCTGTATAAGAAAAAAAAATCAGTGTAAAGGCATTGCATAAATGTTTTCTCGTGTTTCTCAACCGCCGGGCCCTCGTCTTAAAAAAAAATTACAGGGCCGCGGTCTCACAGAGCTTGAAAACAACTTGTATAGAGGGCGTACTGTTGTTTTCCTGAACATACCACCCATGTGGTTTTATTTAGGGAGATTGGAACCCTAAATTACTGAAATTTAATATTTTTTTTCTAGAAAATTTGAAATTTTGTATTCGGGAGATCCTGTGAAGGCCCCCAAATATTGAAGGTGGAATCTTCATATTCACCGGACGCCGACCTGTGTTGGATTAACTTTGACGTGAGTAAAGTCCTCCCGGACGTTCTGGCGCTAGCGAGGCCCACATACAGAGATGTGAATCTGCTCAAATGTGGCGACCGTGTTTTCACTTCGTGCCTAGGAAAGTTGGAGAAAGAGAAAGAGAACTATTGCTTAGCTTATTTTGGTGTCAGCTTTGCATGTGCGCTTTAAGCCCTTACATTAAAAGAGTCCTATTGCTGTGAGCGGTTCAGAAGCGCCGCAAATTTAATTGTGTCAGTGATGTTTACCTAATCGTAAATATTTTTACATTCTGATGTCAGTCCTAGATGTCCTTGTATATGTTTTATTGTAAGCAAACAAGTGTAACCTGGTTTCTGTTCCGTTTTCGAGAAACTTCTTGCCCTTGGGTTAATTTTTTGCTGCAGGCTTGTAGGCCCACTGGATTTATGTACAGCATCGGATTATTCAACGCATACTAAGATGTCATTCGTCGCGGACAGAGCCTTAGACGATTTTTAAATGATTAAATCCACGAGACCCCCCACCGCGTCACTAATCATAGTAATTTGATGAATTTAAGTGATGTTTCGAAAGAGGATGTCTCATAAGCGAGGATTAAATCGGTAACCAGTAGATCCTAGAGGAATTTTTTTATTGAGAATTAAATCGGTATCCAGTAGGTCCTAGAGGGAGTTTTTTTTTTAATTTTGAGAATTAAATCGGTAACCAGTAGGTCCTAGAGGGAGTTTTTTTTTTTTAATTTTGATAATTAAATCGGTAACCAGTAGGTCCTAGAGGAAGTTTTTTTTTTAATTTTGAGAATTAAATCGGTAACCAGTAGGTCCTAGAGGGAGTTTTTTTTTTAATTTTGATAATTAAATCGGTAACCAGTAGGTCCTAGAGGAAGTTTTTTTTTTAATTTTGAGAATTAAATCGGTAACCAGTAGGTCCTAGAGGGAGTTTTTTTTTTAATTTTGATAATTAAATCGGTAACCAGTAGGTCCTAGAGGAAGTTTTTTTTTTAATTTTGAGAATTAAATCGGTAACCAGTAGGTCCTAGAGGGAGTTTTTTTTTTAATTTTGATAATTAAATCGGTAACCAGTAGGTCCTAGAGGAAGTTTTTTTTTTAATTTTGAGAATTAAATCGGTAACCAGTAGGTCCTAGAGGGAGTTTTTTTTTTAATTTTGATAATTAAATCGGTAACCAGTAGGTCCTAGAGGAAGTTTTTTTTTTAATTTTGAGAATTAAATCGGTAACCAGTAGGTCCTAGAGGGAGTTTTTTTTTTAATTTTGATAATTAAATCGGTAACCAGTAGGTCCTAGAGGAAGTTTTTTTTTTAATTTTGAGAATTAAATCGGTAACCAGTAGGTCCTAGAGGGAGTTTTTTTTTTTAATTTTGAGAATTAAATCGGTAACCAGTAGGTTCTAGACGGAGTTTCTTTAATTTTGAGAATTAAATCGGTAACCAGTAGATCCTAGAGGGAGTTTTTGGATTTCAGCGATGATCTGTGTTGTGGGATTTTCGACTCCTGTTACTTTAAGTTTTAGCATCAAAGTATTTTTGTCGCGTCCGATGCTTCCCGAAATAACTTTTACGTCTTGGCAATTGCCCCAGGTGGTGTGAGTGAGCACTTACTGAAGACGGCAGTGGTGAAAACATTTCACATTTCGTCTCAAATTTTTTATGAAAAAAAAATCAAATTTAATTACTGCTACATAAATTAGCGGGCTAGCAGAGCAGCAAAGCTTTGAACGTGTATCTGGGGATATTCTGTTCGAATCTCAGTCCGGGACATCGGATAATCGGACCGGATGATTTTTCATGGTTTTCACTGAGCTCCTCCAGATAAAAACAAGGATATTATCTGCTTTAATCCGCGACTTCTACGAAATCTAATACAGTTCCCTATTCATCTACCATCCTTACATTCTACGCTTTATAGTATAGCTACTGACAACCCACAAAAACCTATGCGTGTGAATGGAATGAGTCTTTAGGGGTTCTCAACATTCAGGACTCGTTTTGAAGGAACTGTTATCACAGAATATCCGCTCTTGGGTCGGTGTCGCGGGCCAGCCCACTTCAGAACAATCTGCATGCGTGCGTGTCAGTTCTTGGGGCAGAGGAGCGGTGTCTGGCGATGCTGTATGTAGGGCGTGGAGCTAAGGGCGAGGAAGGTGGTACCGGCGTCACTGTGGCCGCAGCCGTCGCCATTCTGGAGAGGCAACAGGAAGAGCAGAGACATACAGCGCCATCACGTATCCGCCATCACCAACGCGGTGATTTAAATAGCACGTTCGAGCCGGGAGTGTCGAGGGACTCCTCCGATTCTAGTGTCAGTAGTGTTGGTGAGACTATTGCGCGGCTGAAAAGTAGATTCGGTAGCAGCGGTGTTGGGAGCGGTGCTGTGTCGTGTTCTGCGTCGGCGAGGGATTCGCTGGTACAGGATGCCGATCAGAAATCAATGAAGCATGTGAGTAACGCAAGAAGAAACGAATGGACGTCTGTAAGAAAGAAAGAACCGGATAATTCCGAGGTTAAAACGAATCATGTAGTGAAAGAAAACGAAGGGATCCGGAAATCACCGTCTACCAAAAATATTTCCTCTTTAGTGCGTAGTAATCCGATCGTTCCTACGCGAGGTATCACAACTCTGTCTTCCTCGGATCCGGAAACACAAGATTTGTGTTTCGGAGATGGTGCAAACAAAGTGGATATTTCCTCGCAGTCAAGTCCAGTACAGTGTAATAAGACGTTATCGGTTAAACAGTTTCAATCAGATTTATCCAACGAGGAATCAGGTGAGGTAAAACGGTCTTCATCTGCAGAAGACATTCTAGATCAACATGATGATTTTGATGATGATGGTTTAGGAGCTTGTTCTGTAAGGAGTGAAGATCTACGTGATGATCTACAGATATCCGTGAAAGGATCTACAAGCGATAGCAACATCCCTCGGAAACGTCCGCGTGTAATCCGTCTCCGAGATTGTGTTACCAAGATCGATAGATCGAAATCCAGTCCTGAAGTAGCATCGGAACCAGCTAAAGGAGATACAGAGGATGCAGGTCCACAGTCGCGTAATTCGACTGCGCAAATAGTTCTGGAATATCCTCCACCTCCACCCTCACCGCCGCCGGAGTGTGAAGACGTCAGCGGAGGGTCGTCCCCGAGCAGCTCTGGACGGATCGTGACCTCGGCGGAATCTCTAGGTACCTATATCATGACCCGGACGTTAAAAGCGGTACTGCATAAGAAATGTAACGTGTAAACATTGTGAATGTTATGTTATGGAGCGTATAAAAAGGGATTTCTTGGCGTTTCAACCCCAGATTTATATTTCAGTCTTCTGGATGTCAACGTGTGGTGTCGTAATTGGTTACCATTGTTTCGGAGGCGTCTGCTGCCTCCATCTGCATGGTTAAAACAGGACATACGGCACTACGCGGTGTCATAACCCATAAGATAATATAAATTTTCTTTAAATTTGTGGAGGTGTATTTAAATGTAAATTATCCACTCGAACTGTTAAGCATAAAACAGGTGACAGCTTTACAGTAAAATCGTTAGACTGAATTTCGGAATTTATGCCTGTCATTCAGTTCCAACTAAACAGTAAACATCGCAACGCATTAAACCCTCGTTATAACGGACTGATAAGGGGACAGTGACCACCACCACCACCACCACCACGGGATAACTCCGTCGGTATAGCGACTGGCTATGGGCTGGATGACCGAAGGGTCCGAGTTCGAGTCCCTGTAGGGTCAAAAATAATTTCTTTTCCACGTCGTCCAGGCTGGCTCTGGGGCCCATTCAGCCTCCTATCCAATGGATACAGGGGGTAAAGCGACTAAGGCATGAAGCTGACCACTTACTTCCAGCTATTGCCGAGGTCAAGGATCTATACATCCACTCCCCCATACGCCTTTACCTTTACTACTTTTTCTGCTGCTGCTACTACTACTACTACTACTACTACTACTACCGCTGCTGCTACTGAAAGAGGCTCAGGAATGAATGTGTAAATGGAAATATCGGTAACTTATAGGACGAACGTGAGACATGCGCGTGTTTTGAAACTTCTTGTGAGTGAGACGGCGAAAGTTTAGTATCTTGTTCGACTTCAGTTCTACTCGTTTATGCTTTTACTTTAAAATTCTTGCCGAAACTTTGGGTGGTTATATATTGGAAATGAAGTTATGTTTTCAGTTTGCAGTGAGTTCTCTGTTGTCTACTAAAATACAAGCGGCGTCAGTTATTACCAGAGTTCACTTTACAAACCGTGTAAACAGTGTTACTAACAGTAACGTAATGTTGGAGAGACAACGCAGAAATTAATCAGAGGTTGGCAGGGTTACATAACCTACTTGAAGATTTACTCTCTCCTTGAATGCAACTCCCCCTCTACCAGCATTATGTTGGGCACAGTCAGCTGGCTGTGGTATATTTAATATTCACGACGTTTCGTGAGTTGGCTATACTCATTGTCTCCAGGCGATGGTTCTCGTCGTTCTGACAGATTTGTTATTTTCTTGGGTTCTTATTAAGGGGAGGGATAATTCAGTTTGTATAGCGACGGTCGGGGTTCGATTCCCAGCAGAGGCAAGAGATATTTTTCTACTCCTCAGCTTTCAGACCTGCTCTGGGACCCACTGAGCCTCCTATCCAGTGGCTGAGGGCGGGGGGCTCTTTTCGCGTGTATAAAGCGGCCTATGCCTGAAGCTGACTGCTGATTTTATCTAGTTCCGAGGTCAAGAAGGGTGAAGCTATAACTTCACTCCCTCTTACGGCTTCATGGCGTGATGCACAGTTAATTAAGCACAGGAACAACTTTACGTTGTTGGTTCTTATTGTAAAATTAATGGGGATTGGAGGGATATTGTCATGTAGTAGGGGTGACTATAGACGGGGTTTGAGCTGGTGAAGAGATTTATTGACCACAGGTCGTAACTACAAATAACTTAACACTATCGCTATTTCTGCACTTTACAGTTCACTAGAGCACAGAGTCTAGTGTTTTCAACGTGTTACTAGACGTTTCCAGGTAACGGCTCCAACAATGTCTATTCCTCTGCCTCAGACTCAAGTCCACTCTTCACAGACTTCCATACAGAAGTGATTAAGTCAAAGTTATGTTACACCGACGGTCAGTTGGTGTGTCTATCTTGGTGTCAAGCATCCATTTGTGACTTAAAACCAGATTTGTTTCCTGTCTGACATTTTCGGGTTTGTTGATGTGGCGAGAGGACGAGTCTGTCTTCTACAGTGTAATATATTTACATTTTACATGTTACGACATGAATGTGTATGCAGTATAAGTAAGGCTTCTGTAAGTTAGACTCAGTACATCAGATTGTTCTCTATCTTTAGTAGCGTCCGCCAGTGAATTCTAAAGGTCATTTTGCTTCATCAGATTTAAGACAATCTTTGTAATTTCCACTGTTTTCTCCTCCTCTGACTAACTCAAAGTCACATTGCGACTGACGGTCAGTCAGTAAGTCTTGGTGTGGAACCCCATCTGAGGCTCATGACCAGATATTTTTTACTGTTTGACAGTTACAGTCTTGTTTTTGTGGGGCGCCCTCTCTGACGAGAGGACAGGGCTGTCTTTTTTTATATGCTGCTGATCCTTGCCAGTGCACTCTTTCTCGGGTCCGAGTCCCTTGGGACCCGCGACCACATTTTACTGTCTTAGATTTGAGATTTCCCTCCTACGACTCACAGAATCACGGTGGAGGTATTCGAGCCCGCCTTCACACGGGGGCCTATGACTAAGCTCTAAACTTCCCGGTTATAACACATCGGCACGGACCATATAGACAGTACAATTCTTCTGATGTTGCATACGTTACCTAGCAACGGTCGCTGTTTACAGAGTCACCGCTAAGCAACGGGTCTATACGACGCAATATTATAACCTCGCATTTTCTAATTCCAGACTAACACTAGACCGCTTGGCTGCGTGTAATCTTATAATCAGATAAGGGGATCCTGTGCCAGTGGTTCCGCAGTCCGCAGAATGGTGTGTAAGCCTTTCCGTGGATTACGTGTTCGATCAGCCTCTGAGAATTCTGGCGTTTGTTTTCTGCATTTCATGCGTAAAATGGAAGATAACTTGGCAGCACACGCCGACAGCATTCATAAGACCCGACCCGGAAATTCCTGATTCTTTACACGTCCGTCCAGACGTTCAGAATAGCTTCATTTCAATGTGCTTGGCTTTACGCTGTTTTTGGCACGGTTTGGGAGCATCAGGTATAGAACCTCAGGCCTTCTAGTGAAGTTAATTGCCCCTCATTTAGTTAGGACGTTTTTCATCTTATGCGAATTCCTAGGGAACCAGTCGGTATAGCGACAGGCTGCCGTCTGCACGGCCAGGGTTCGGTTTCCGGTAGGGACAAGAGATTTGTTTTTCTACTCCACAGCGTCAGGATCGGCTCTGGAACTTACCAAGCCTCCGAACCAATGCGTACCGGGGGCTGTTTCCCCTAGCATTTGTGTTTAGAGGCTGAGGTAAAAAAAGAAAAGCCGTCCCTGTAACAAGCCGTGAAGGCCCATTGGGTTGTGAGACGTCGAGGCTCCTACATTTTCTAGACAATCGGTTCACAGATGGTGGTGAGACTCTTAGCCTTACGCTCTAGGCTATCCCTGTAACAGGCCTTGGAGGCACATAGAGTTGTGGGACGTCGAGGCTCCTACATTTAATAAACAATCGCCTCACAGATAGCGGTGAGGTCAGCCTTACGCGCTGGCCGCCCTTTACCCCCAGGAAGATTCCTGGTACTCATTTCTGTTACAGGCTGAGTCGACCCCAGGGCCATAGTGCAGCTGGAAGGTTTAGGTCAATTGAAAAATCCTATGATCTCATCGGGAATCGAACCCGCGACCTTCCAGCTTGTAGCATAGTGCCTCAACCAACTACGCTACCGCGTGTCCCCCTAGGGACTGAGGAAAACAGCGAAAAATTTCCGTCATGTTAGCTAGAGTCCTGGTCGAGTTTCAAACCGAACACCTTGCGAGTATAGGTTTAGAGTGTTACAGGTATACCAACCTGCTCGGTCCAATTCATTATTCATCAGGCTTTCTACCAATTGAGGCTGTGTGAGCTGATCTCTTGGAAGCATCGTTAAATAAACGAATAATGGACTTATCAGTGATAGCGTTTAGTATCAGCGTGGCGGCCGCCACTCGCCGTTCGGATAACTGATTTTTCCGATAATTGACATTCAGTATTAATCACGACTATACAGATTTCACGGACTGGACTATCAGTATTGATCATTTTCATGCGCGTACAGGGTGCTCACAAAGTCCCGTTACTCTTCTCTCCTTGTGTCATGAGTATTACAGTTGAGTTCGAATCCCGGTGTGGGTAAGAAATTCCTCTTCTCCACGTCTTCGAGACCAGTTGTCGGGTCCACCCAGTCTCTTATCTAATGGGTACCTGGTGCTCTTTCCACGAGGGTAAAGCGGCCGGGCCGTGAATCTGACCGCTCACCTCCAGCTACTGCCGTGGTCAAGAAAATGTGGATCAATACATCCACTCCCCCAGACACCTTTATTGCGTAGTGTTTAATTAGTAAAGCACAGGGACAACTTTATGTTTTAACAATAATAGAATTACGGTGAGTTCTAATTGTTACTTCTAAATATATTGATGAAAATTCCTAGAATTACATTTATATAGTTTTTACTTTGTTTTGCTTACAGCCCTTCAGGACTACATGGCATATTCAATATTGTAAAAAAAAAAAAATCCGAATTGTCAGTTCGCGTTACGTATACTGAAGCCACGGAATGAAGTCCCGTAGATGGTGGGGTGACGATTTTCAAGGCTTCCCACTCCTTGCCTACTACTATATTCCTGTCCAGCTTCCGAAAACATGTTGTTATAACATTTCCTTGTCTGAAGACGCGCGTTCTAATCTGGACTACACATAAGCGTGCAGTCCACTGTACCGTGTCAGAGGAAATGTCGAAAGTGAGGCCTCGGTTTGAGCCATAGCCCCCTACGTACTGAGTTCTGTTGAGAGATTTGTGCCAGGATATTCTCTAGCGGGAAAGTAATTCCCTACGATAAAGGATTACGCCTTCTTTTCCTCTTCTCTGACAGACGGGAGGTAGAAACCATACACTGATCTTACAGAAAACAGTTTTTAACACAAACAGTATATATAGACCGCGCTATTTCCTCGTGGCTTAAGTTATT